TCCTTGGAGCTTACAATCTAGGAGGGAGGGGCTAGTGGTACAAAAGGTAATAACTGTGGAGGATGGATTGGTAGGAGGAATAGAAGATTCCATTATTAGCTGAGGGCAGGATAGGCTTCCCTGAAGAGATAGGTTTTCAGAGATTGCCTAAAAGTGGGCAGAGTAGGCGATAGTCTGATAAATTGGGGTAGAGAGTTCTAGAGGATGGGGGAAGCTCTGGAGACGAGCATGGGAGGAGGAGACAAGGGAGCTGGAGAGCAGGAGGTTGTGCGAGGAGCAAAGAGTACGGTTTGGGTGATATTTGTAGACAAGATTGGTGATGTAATTTGGGGCAGAGTTCTAAATGGCTTTATAGACACATACATGAATGTGGGGCATGCATCGAGGGTGGAGATGCCCTGAGACCAGAGACTCCGCCCTGATTGCAACTGCGCTTCCTCTCTGCTGCTGCACCTGTCAGACAGTGCAGTTCCGGGGAGTTTTGTACCCAAGAGGAAGAGCATGATTGGGATTTACATACACTCATTGCCCCCCTTGTGATTGACAGCAGGTAGTGGGCAGGTCCTTAGCCAATAAACAGCCTGCTATTGGCTATAAAATCTGCCCATCGCCTGCTGTCAATTACCAGGCGAGAGTGGACTTGATGGGGATTTAGTGTCTCAGCTTCCCCACAGGGGTAGACTGACAACTCATGGGGCCCCCGGGCAATAGGAGATCATGGGGCCCCTGTGCCCTTGCCCAAACTCAAAAAGACTATTAAAAAGGTACCAGAGGCATCTCATGGGGCCCCCTACTGACCCTGGGCCCTCGGGCAGTGCCCGAGTTTCCAAATGGTCAGTCCGCCCCTGCTTTCCCATCAGGCTTCACCCACTACAGCATCACTGGTTGTTAGGGGTCTGTCGGCTTGGAAGCAACTGGTGACAAGGAGAGGGTAGCAAATATGTTGTACTACTACACTGCATACAGGAACAGGCAGTCTGCCTGTCTCTGTACGCCAAGTTAGAGTAGGTCTTAAAGTGGAACCACATTGCATCTGAACATCACAAACCAAAAACACTAGTTAATTAATTTGTAATATTCAAAGCAAATCCATCTATCCTTGTGTTCATGCTTTATTTGGCTGAGAAATCACTTTGAAAAGCACTCCCCCTAGCATTTCTGGCCATGGCCATCTTGAGTAAGGGCAGATGATTCATGTAGCATATACTTCCAGAATCCATCTGCCCTTAGGTATGCAGGCAGGAGGGTGTGCTTATCTGAGAAAACCCTTCCTCCCCTCCTGAAGACTCCTGGGATGTATTACATCATTTGCCTAGACAAGAGACCAGTAAGTAACTGAAGAAATGTAAAAAAACAAAGGTCAAAACAAATATAATATACCTTCCTATCGATTTACTAATGCTAACAGCATAAGGATTAAAAATAGTCAGTGTTAAAGTGAAGTTTCACTTTAATTACTTCCACTTTAGTTATCTATAGACTGGAGGTAATTTTGTTTTTTTACTTGGTGCATTAGTACCACTTTGTAAAAATGGCCCTATTAGGAAGTATCTGAATCTGCCACACTTGTAGGTAATGTAAACAAAACTGGCACAGGCCATTTAAAAGGGCCACAGAACCACAAAACTGTTGGTTGTGGTGTATTGAATTTCCTTTGAATAAGTAGGGATAAACCCAGGTGTAGTCTAATCCTAGTCCAAACCCACCTGAGCAATCCTGTCAGGAAGCAGTCACTGTACTTGGCTAATCTAGGGGGGGGGGTACAACTGGGGGAATCAATGGTGGAGAAGGATCTAGGAGTTCTGTAGATCACAAGCTTAATAATGGCATGCAATGCCAAGCTGCGGTTTCTTAAGCGAGCAAAATCCTCTCTTGTGTTAAAAGAGGTATAGACTCCAGAGAGAGAGATATCATTTCCCCCGGTACAAATCATTAGTAAGACCTCATCTGGAATATGCAGTTCAGTTTTGGGCACCAATTCACAAAAAGAACATTGGGGAACTGGAGAAAGTACAGAGAAGTACATGGAGGAGCTCAGCTATGAGGAAAGATTAGAGGAACTGAATTTATTCTCTCTTGAGAAGAGGAGATTAAGAGGAGATATGATCAACATGTATAAATACATCAGTGGTTCATATAGTGAACTCGGTGTAGAGCTATTCACCCTGAGGTCATCACAGAGGACAAGGGGGCACTCTTTATGTCTGGAGGAAAAGAAATTTAATCTCCAAACACAGAAAGGTTTCTTCACAGTGAGAACTGTGAAAATGTGGAATAGACTCCCTCAAGAGTTGGTTCTGGCCAGCTCAGTGGATTGCTTTAAAAAAAGGCCTGGATTGTTTCCTAGATACACAGAATATAACTGGATATTAACATTTATAGATAAAGTTGATCCAGGGAATATCCGATTGCCTCTCGGGGGATCAAGAAGGAATTTTTTTCCCTTGAAGGAGCAAATTGGATCATGCTTTGCTGGGTTTTTTGCCTTCCTCTGTACAGCAGCAACGTTGTTCAAAGCATCGGTCTTCCATATCCACTACACATCTAAGAGGCTGGTCAGCAGCTCTGAGGAAAGGGACTCGTCCCCGAAACGTGTCAGCCATTTGACCGTACTGACTGTTGGAACACCTTGCTTGCCATTGTGGCCATCTTCTGAATGCAAAAGCTTTTTATACATGCTTTGTCTGTGAGTATGTTTTTGTCTTTTTATACCTTTGAATAAACCTTGGATAATGCACTAGGTGTGTGCGCCACCTGTTAATTCTTTATCTAGTGGCTGATCTCCCCATCTGAGGAGGGCTGCACCCCTGAAGCATCTTCTTTTGGTTATCTCTGTCCTGGTCCCCTTGGCTTCCCTTTGGCTGTTCATTTCCTGAAGCGCTGGAGAGTACATACGACATCCGGTTAGACTAACTATGTATCTATGTAGTCATAAGTGGCCAAGGCAATCGTGTGTGTAAACACTCCACTCGTATACCTACAACTGCAGAGTGAGAATTGCCTGGGCCGCCTATGAATGGAATAGTAGAGTTGACAGCTTCCTGGTTGGATTACTAAGGTGGGTTCTGACTAGGATCCAAACATGTTTGAGCACCATCCCTAATTATGATGTAACATGACTGTGACCCATAGCTGTTAAAAAAGAAGCTTGTTAGCAACAAATCACCAGTAGCTACAGAGATTATGTTGCTAGCTACGAAACAATGATAGTCACCGGCATTTGCAAGGAATCATTGCTACAAAATTATGGCCCTAATCGGGAACTTCTCTTATTTGCCATCTTTAGGCCAGTTAAATATTTAATCAAAAGTGTGTTGTGATATCTGTTTAATAAGTGAAAAAAAATACCAGGTGATCCTTCCAGAAAGCTGGTGGGCTTGTAATGTCCTCTATGGAGTTGACCGCACAGTTTTCTTGCTGTAGTGAAATCCCAAGGAGTCTTGTGAGCCCTGCCAAATTCACCTCTGTACCTGCTCTTGGAATTATGTAGATGGAGCTAGGATAATGGAACCTAGAGCTAGAGTCATATGTTCAAATTACTGCCACCGTTATGTTAATGTTTACACACATTAACATACACACACGATCTGATTGGTAGGTAGGCCATTTCCACACACCAAGGGGTCATCACTATAACCTTGGGTCGTGTGGGCAAAACTGACTCCAGAGATCGAAACGCCACACCATAAGATTATGTTCAGAAAAAAGTGTATTTATTGGGCATAGTAACCAACGTGATTCGGGGGCCTGAAATCACCCATCAGGGCTAAAATAAAACATAAAATGTAGACACAAAAAAAATACTAAAAATGCTCACTGAAGCATTAAAGTGTTAACAAACCCACAACAGTAAAGTCTGTATATGCAATAAAGCATGCTTGTTATACTCACTAGGGGTTATCCTCTGCATTGTGTAAAAATGTTGTTTGTTCCTGTCTTCTCTGATCTTCCCCTTCTTCCAGTGCCCCCCTCTAATCTCCTGATAAGACATATCGTGTGGAGTCACTCTGTACATGCTCAGTTTGGTGTATTGCTAGAGAGGTTTTCTTTTTTTCTTGGGAGAGTGATCATGTGATCAGCACCGGGCCAATCAGCACTGTCCAGACAGAGGGTCAGCAGTTCTGTATCCTCCTAAAGAAGAGTGAAAACTCCTCCTACAAGCTTTAACCATTGCTCTACTGAACACTGATGAAAGTCATAAAACTGCTCTATGAGAAAAGGTATTTAGCAGTTTATATTTACTAAAATAATTGTATTTCCATATTCTGTATACTGTGGGAGACTAGATATAGTGAATGCAGGGTCCGGGGGTTTAGTAACACTTTAAAGTGGCGTTCCACTCAAAAGCAGAAGCTCCGCTTATTTTCCTCCGCCCCTCCACTGCCATATTTATTATTATATTATTATTATTATACAGGATTTATATAGCGCCAACAGTTTGCGCAGAGCTTTACAAAATGAAGGTCGACATTACAGTTACAATACAATTTGGTACGAGAGGAAACAGAGGACCCTGCTTGTTAGAGCTTACAATATTTGGCACCTTTTGGGGGGGGGAGGGGGAGCGGGTACGTGGTTTTGACAGGTACCCGCTCCCAATTCCGGCTCAGTTCACCGCAGCGAAGTGACCTGGAAATTCAGCCCCCTCCTTGCTCCCGCAGTCTCCTGGGAACTTTCATAGGTCCCAGGAGACTGCTGGACCAATCAGGAGGAGCCGCTCGACTCGCACATGCGCAGTGGGCACCAGGCTGTGAAGCCGCAAGCTGTCACAGCCTGGTGCCCACAGTAGAGATGCCAGTGCTGTAGAGAAGGAGAGAAGGGACTGCGAGGGTAAGAACATCGCTGCACCCCGGGATAGGTAAGTGTGTGTTTATTAAAAGTCAGCAGCTACAGTTTTTGCAGCTGCTGACTTATAATAAACACAAAAACGTCTGGAACTCCGCCTAAGTGCACGAATGCATGGTATTGCGTATATGTAACACTTCCAGGTATAGGCAGGGCCTGAGATTGGTACATTGGAAATACACACAGTTTATATTGTACTGATGATCTTTATAAATCTTGTGCAGTTTGGTTGCAGCCAGGGGCGGACTGACAATTTGGAAACTCAGGCACTGCCCGAGGTCAGTAGGGGGCCCCATGAGATGCTCCTGGTACCATTTTCATAGGCTTTTTTGAGTTTGGGCAAGGACACAGGGGCCCCATGATCCCCTATTACTCGGGGGCCCCATGAGTTGTCAGTCCGCCCCTGGTTTCAGCAATAAATATACTGTTCTTCAGCAGTCCAGATTATTTGCAATCTCAGTGTTTACAGTATATGTTGTTACCAGAGGATGGCTTCCGCTATCAGGGGTAGTGTCCCTTCACTGAATAGGTAGAAGATGTTTCTTCGGTCAGCACCAGTTCCACACCACTAACCAGAGTGTTTGAAGTGAAAAAGTGCCTTTCCTGAACTATCCCTCCTCGTCTAAAACCTGATCCTATGCTAAGCGCTGTCAAGCGGGTTTCCTCTCCCTACCACACACTCACCAGAAGCATGGCAAAATGATGTGGGTTCTCACCAAAGATGGCCACCAGAGTCTTTCAAGAGTTCTGTGTCCCATCAGACAAGGCACTATACGGATTCTCTAAGGCACGAGTGTCAAACTGGCAGCACTCCAGCTGTTGCCAAACTACAAGTCCCACGGGGCATTGCAAGATTGACAGTTACAAGCATGTTTCCCAAAGGCAGAGGCATGATGGGACTTGTAGTTCCGCAACAGTGGAGGGCCACCAGTTTAACACCCCTGCTCTAAGGGATCAGTTCCCTTATGAGACCCTCTTCCCAGGCTATTATGGCAGGAGACCACCTAGGAGGTGGGAAGGCTAACAGCAAAACACCAAAAAGAAAGGAGAGAGACAGTGCCATTACTTAAGTGTAGTATTTATTTAAAACACAATGAAAATTATATTTAGCACTAACGTGTAAAATTAATATACAAGCACATCTGTCAAGTCTCCAGTAGGTGGCGGTATACCAGGTGGTCAGTGGTGTTACAACAGCCCCCTCTTGGTGGATGTGATGTCAGATACCAGGATCCAGTAAGTGTACCAGGGAGCACACCAGGAAGAACCAACAGTTGAACTAGCAGTGTGTAAGAAGCAAGATGGCGGGCACTGGTGGGCCAATGAGAAAGGGCCTCCCTACCCCAGCACATTGCCATGCCCACCCAAGTCACATATGATGGTCATCACACCCCCAGCGGCCACCATCTTTGTTTTTACATACTGCTGGTTCTTCCTCGTGTGCTCCCTGGTATATTTACTGTGTCTGACATCACATCCACCAAGAGGAGTTTGTTGTAACACCACTGACCACCTGGTACACTGTCACCTATTGGAGTCTTGACAGATGTGCTCATATATTTATTTTACATGTGAGTGCAATGTATAATTTTTATAATTTTCAAGTTTTAACTCTATACTAAGGTAGTGGCGCTCTATCTCCTTCTTTCCTTTCCTTTTTGGTGTTTACATTTCCTGAACTTTCCCAGATTCTGTGTGATGGTCCATGGAGAGATTGCTTACATTGCCATCATATGAACTTTTCATGATGATATGGACTCTCCTTATGGACTCATTGTTCTAATATAAGAATTTTTTCTTGTTTGTGTTTTATGATGTGAATTTGTGCACTAGAACCGTTTTGCTCCTGGGTATACACTTTACATACTGGACAACACTGGACTATTGAGTGCAGTTTTTTTTTATTTCAGGGAAGGCTAACTGCACTTGCCTACACTGGTATTTATTACTTAAACCCTTTGCGCTGGTGCCCCCGGCCCTTTAAGGGTTTCAGAAGCCGGGAGGCAGGCGGGGTTTAGGGTCATGTGACCGCCGTGACACGCCATCACATGATCGGGAAAGGTCCCGATTGAAAGAGGAGATTGGGACCTTTCCGTGAGTACCGGACATGTGTGCTGGGAGCGCGCAGGGCTCTCAGCACATATGTTCTTTTTTTAATAGAACTCAAATGTGCGGCTGCTCAGCATCTAGGCCCAGACGCTGGGAGGCCGCACATTTACGCTTGGCCGGCGTGAAGAGGTTAAAGGATAAGTTCACCTTTGGGAACATGTTACATATTCCATCCTTTTTTAGGGTGGAACATGTAACATGCTCCTGGTCCTGCAGCTACAGTCAACTGCCCCCTTTTTCCTGTGACAGAAGTAAAGGGAGAAGTTCCCCGTACTAGCTGCCAGTTTTCATAAACAGCCTGGCCGTGCGGAACTCTGCCCTCACGGCCATGTCATTCATTCATTGTTCTGTGAATGAATGGACTACAAGTCCCAATAGCCTTAGTGGCTGTCGGCTTGTAGTCCTCTGTAATGCCTATGAGATGTGTTGGCCTTGGACCCTTTGTTTCTTGGGTAATTTTTACAATAAAGCATTGTTGCGCAAATGCCAGGGGCGTGAGACATCTAGTAACCTCACATTAGGAGATAAAAACCTGTTTAAGGACATCTAAATTAGGAATCCTTAAGTCTGGGGGAGATGAAAAGAGGTTTTGGGGTAGATAAGAAGCAAAATTGTGACTTTTCAGATAAGGAATATGGTGGTTGAACATAACTGTTATCCTAGCGGAACCCTTGTGCTAGCCCCTCCCATAGTGGGTATGGCACCGCCCACTATTGGACTGCTTCCAGAAAAAGGGTTTATAAGGCGAAGGTCCGGTCAAGACTAGTGGAAGCTCCCCTAGTAGCCAGAGGACGCTCTGACGCTGGGATTTTTACCAAGGCTATATGGGCTTATCAACTGGTCACCCCTATGGCTTCTCCATGACCCCCTGGCCAGTTTGGTTCGGATGGGATTTGTTCCTCCCACCTTCCACATTGCTTCGGTAATGTATTAATTCTATGCTGTGACGCTGTCAAATGATGTGTCTGTTTCATGCTGTAATGGTCTCATTATTATTGGTGAGTGTTATTATGCAGATTGTGATGACTATAAGATATATCCTCCTGTGTGTTGTGTGATAATAAAAGTGGAGGTTTTGACAGTGCAAGAATATTGCAGTTAGATTCTGTTATTTCTTGCAGTGCCGGGTGAATGCTATGATGTGACAGGGCAGGTATTCATTGGGTAGTTGGCCTTTCACAATGCATAGAACATGTAATGGTTTAAATGCTGATTAAAAGTACCTGCAGGACTGCATGTTGATTTGTGTGCATGTATAGGACTTGTTTTTAGTAATTGCACCCAGCATCACTATTACATCCTCCATGAACTATCACGGTGCTCTGAGCACTGTGGCAGTTCCTTGAGCAGGAGCAGACTGACCATTTGGGAACTTAGGCACTGCCCGAGGGCCCGGGGTCAGTAGGGGGCCTCATGAGATGCGCCTGGTACCTTTCATAGGCTTTTTTTTTGGATGTGGTTTGAGTGTGGCTGAGGACACAGGGGCCCCATGATCCCCTATTGCCCGGGGGCCCCATGAGTTGTCAGTCCGCCCCTGTCCTTAAGTCTTCCGGTCAGCAAGTATCGGCTTGCCCGTATGGGATGTACGATCAAAGCAGATACACTGACAGTGTGCTGGAGACCTGCATTGCATCAGCGAGCTGCAGATTGCTGGTGCAATGCTTTACAGGCTGCTAACAAAAAATAATAAATGCACATTTTCATATACCTGTATATACATTACAGGCATTTATTATTTTTTGTGGAAAGGTGAACTTATCCTTTGAAGTGATAGTAAACCGCAGGAGAAAAAAAAAATCCCCTGCAAGGTAATGTCATAATGTGCTAGTATACATTTCCTACTAGCACATTATGTAGGACTTACCTTAAAACGAAGCCCTCCAGCAGCACATTGTGACCTCTGCAGAGGCTTCCATCTTCCCCTGGTCTTCCTTCCAGGTTCTAACAGGCCGGGCTGCGAAGATGTCAGGGGTATACCGTTCCTTCAGAGCGCATGCACCGGCTCTAAAGAAGAGCGAATATCTCCTAAATGGGGCATGTTTAGGAGATATTTATTTTAACCTACAGGTAAGCTTTATTATAAGCTTGCCAGTAGGTAAAAGTTAATAATAAGACTTCATTACCACCACTTTAAAGCGATCACAGTATCCCCCTGCCAATGCCTTTATGTGCTTTCTCTCCAGAAGGACAACACAACACATCAGACATTATTGAGGGTCACCACCTACTTTCTGGATGCTCATTTGCAAATTTGTTAAATAAAAGTTTAAAGCTTTAACATTACTATAAACCTTGTTGGCCATTCTTGGACCTACATGTGGTTGTGTTAGAGATGGTGGGCCTGTCATGCCATAGCCAATGACAAGTCTTGAAGATACAGCACAGAGGACTGCTCAGGAGGACCATGGACAATGGATATTGCTCAGACATCCTCAATGCTGAGAAATGCTGAATGGGATCCACCATTTCTAGGCTGCATCAGTGTGTCATAGCTAGGCAATAAATTTCAGGGGAATGTCCATTTTGTTACACTTTTCTGAGGCCATGAGGCATTTTCACTTGCTTTATTATCAATAAATGTTAAAGTTGAATTAGGTCAGTGCTGCGCTAAGAGGATAGCCAGCATGACTGGGGCTTGCAGAGGAGGTGGGGTGATCAATTTTAATTATGTTTAGTATTAAAGGAGAAGGAGAAAAAGGCACTTACCTGATTGGAGTGGTGGAAGTCATGGAGGGTGGGTCCAGGTGGTTGGGAGGAGGGAGGTTCCTGCTGAATATCAGTTGGAGCTTAGTCAGCATTAAAACAGGTCTATAGGTCTACAGGCCCCCCCCCCCCCCCAATGAACCTCCTCTAACACTTCACTATTTATTTTAAATTTTGAAAATAATCTATGCCTAATCTATCTGTCATAGCAGCAGGCAGGGATCTCTAGGTCTTTGAAGGCATTGCTAGTTAACCATATTTGGTAAATGGTGGGTTGAGCCCATCTCTGGTATGGATGTTTCTTCCCAATATAACGTTACATTGGTGGTAGTGGTGATTCAGCTGTATCTGGGGTAACTTAGTGGTTAATTCTTCCTGTGGTGGTATAATTGCGAGTGGGGGCCTTTGTTAGAAGTTTGTGGCAGACACACAGACAGGTTTTGAAAGATATGTGCCTTCAAAAAAATCTTAGAACAGGTAGGAGGTCAGATAGAATTTCTTTTTTGTTTGTTTTTTTTTTATTTAAATTAAGGTCTGTTTTGTATTTACAGTAATATGGCTGCTATGGCCATTCGACTCCACAGAAAATTGTTGTGGTCTAGTTAATTTGGGTGGAGTTGTGAAAATTTGGGGATTTTGGGGTTTGAAGAAAATGTAAGCCTCGATATCTGCAGTCCCTCAGTCATGTGTTTGTACTCTTCTAGCTTTGAGGGTTTCCCTTTGACACAGGGTGCTTAAGTTGCAAGATGGTTATACACAAAGAACTTTTCTATGAATTTTGATGTATACACTTTGTATGTATTTATCTACTGTATTTGTATAATGTTTTTATAAGATCCATTTGAGACCTACTACCAAAACACCAAATACTTGTACAGACAATAGAACGTAGATCTATTTTCTTTTATTAGGTGCACTGAGTAGGAAGTGAGTGGAATCCATGTGCAAGCTTCAGTATAAAAGACAGCAGGACACTCTGCAATAAGAGTTGCTTAAATGTCATGTCAGTATCACCATTTATTATTTTAATAGAAGTCAGGCTGCACAATAACAACCCGTAGACTTGAGAAATACCCATACTGCAAGATCAATGACCAATTAAGGTCTACGGGATGTTAGTACACAGGTGGGTGAGCTCTAGATTTTTAGTGGCCGAGCTACAGACAACACAGGAGGCCACCGCAGGAGGTAAGTAAACTCTTGCAGGGGGAAGAATCAGCTGTGTATGTTTAGGGGACGAGGGAGGGGGACTCTGAGGTTTTTGAAAAAACCTGAACTTGTCCTTTAATGTGATTACACAGCTGCTGCACAAGCCAAGAGAGCATTAAAAATGAAACGTGTGGTTTATTATATGAGGTTCCATTAATCCATACAACATAAATATGTTTGGTCACAATTTCCAGTTAATATAAGTCATTTTACATATTGCATTTTTACATAGTAAAAAGTCTACAAAGACATCAGTGTTGCACTAGAAAAATAAAGTTCCCGGTGCAAGAAGTAATTCTGCAGCACTATTAAACAAGCTTAGTCTACCAGCCTAGCTGCAGCAAAGAACAAGATTTCCTAACACAGACATCTAAAAACATTACTGGACATCTGACATGTGCGTGACATTTAGGATTAAAATACTAAATATATTTAAGTGTCCTGGTTTAAAAATTAATAAATACAAAAAAATATAAAAAATATACACCACTTGAGAGTTGCGTTGTTAGATTTAAATCTCGCTCTCAAACGTATGCATGTACGTCTTTAGGGAAAGGATCTCTGTGTAGCTGCGATTTGTCTTTCGATAGAAGTCAAGTCCGGTTAGCTGTTCAATGTCTTTAACGCGAGCGGTGTGCATCTTTAAAAGTTCCTCCACCCACTTCGATTCATCTTCTGAGTTCTAAGGGAGGGAAATGGGTTTTCTATTAGTTTAGGAAGTAATGTTTCAAATCATTTAAAAAAAAAAAAAAAAAACACAAAACAAAAACAGATGTAGAATGTGTAATATATATATGTATATATATATATATATATATATATATATATTTTTTTTTTTTTTTTTTTTTTAACATAGCATTTATATACTTTTTTTGCAATTCATTCTGTAATTTTGAACACGTTTCACAACTTATCCAAAAACATCTTCCTCAGCAATTTTCAACATCCAAGCTTGAATCAGAACTCAAGAGGCTGTTTGAAGAAGCTGTGAATCATCTTCAGAATTACAGATCAATTCCAGTTGAATTTAACTAATACTAGATCAATATGCCCTGGATATGGGAGAACTTTTACAGAAATTTTGGCATTGGATAGAATTTCTGTTCCTTATGCTAGATACACGCAAGGCACTTTTAGACACTGTTACAGTCTAAGTTTAGTCAACACAATTTTTTGAAAAAAATCAGCACAACGGACTATACTTGTGCTCAGTGCAGAGTGTTCCTTGTGCTGATGGCTGTGGTTTTAGTTGAAATTCCTGATGCCCCGAGTCGTAATCTTCCAGTGTCACAAGGGTTAATAAAGGTGAGCAATATATCACAGGCACCCATCAAAAGTACCAACGATTCTCACCTTATTCACCCATTTCCTCCATTCATAGAAGCTGTATTATAACTTTAATCAATGAAATGAATGAAGGACAAATGGATGAACAGTAAAACTGCAGCCACTGACAAAACGGGCACTTCCCATTGATTGTTAGTACTATTCATTGTGCAGGTTAAAAAAAATAAATGTTTTGACTACCTTTGGATCACAAACACAATTAAATGTGTGAATGCAACATTTCTATTAAGGCTGAGTTATAAAATCTAGATGATTGACTGCCTTAAAGCCAAACTTCATCCTGGATTTAAAAGTTGAAAAATTGGGTGTGGGGGAAAAATTTAAAGCCTCATTCACATGGGTATGCTTAAGCGAATGCCCCTTTAAGGGCAGTGTTTGCCAACATAGAGATGCAAAAATGGGAGGCAGAGGTAGACAATATGAGTTTGAGGATCTACTTGCACCCACACAGATGTCAGGGAGCAGTGGCTGTGTCCCAACTGAAATGAAAGGGGCTACCTGCACAGGGGTGCATGGAACACAGAAACTTTAAATGTCTTACTGAAGCTTGGCAATTCTTCCTTCATAGCAAATAAAGATGGAGTAGCTCATAGGTCAAAGCTCATGCAGCCACCACATCTAGAGACCGGTAAGCTGCGATAGATTATATTGTTATTCTTAGGTTTGGATACACTTAATTTTTCCAATGAGATAAGCCAGCTAAGGTGACTGGATATGGGATAAAAGTGGTTTATATATATATTCATATTCACTCAGTGGCCACTTTAATAGGTACACCTGTCCAATTGCTAGGTAACACAAATTGCTAATCAGCCAATCACATGGCAGCAACTCAATGCATTTAGGCATGTAGATGTGGTAAGGACAACTTCCTCAAACCTTGCATCAGAATGGGGAAGAATAGGGATTTAAGTGACTTTCAATGTGGCATGGTTGTTGGTACCAGATGGGCTGGTCTGATTATTTCAAAAAAAATGCTGATCTACTGAGATTTTCACATACAACCATCTCTAGGGTTTACAGAGAATGGACTGAAAAAGAGAATATATTTAGTGAGCCTTATTAATGTCAGAGGAGAATGGACAGTCTAGTTTCAGATGATAGAAACGCAACAGTAACGCAAATAAGCACTCATTACAACCAAGGTATGCAGAATACCATCTCTAAACTCTCAACATGTAGGGGCTTGAAGCAGATGGGCTACAGCAACAGAAGACCACACCCAGTAGCAAGGTGTACCTAGTAAGGTGTCCGGGTATATATATATATATATATATATTTATATTATTTTTTTTATTTTTTATTTTATTTTTTTTTTTATTCTCTTGACTGGCCATGTGTTGATGCCTATGGTGATAAGAGGAAGAGCACAGCTAGGCACCTGGGATATATAAAAAAAATAAAATAAAAAATAAAAAACTTTAGCAGTCAAATGGGAAGTTCCAACCAAGCAGTTGATTCTTCCCCGTGATGGGTTGACCTTGGAATGCCTGGAAATGTTGGAGACAGTATAAACACAAATGGTAATTTCCCAATTCAATTGTAACCTGCCAAATTGGACAAAATCATCTTTTATCTGTATATTCCTTAATGGACTATGAAATATGCAGGTGATATATAAATGGCAAAAAATGTTAAGCATTAAAAAAAAAAAAAAAAAAAAAACCTTAAAAAAAATCGGTCTTATCTCTAATAAATAAGGCAGTTGTGTGATGTATGAGGTTGGTCACTAGAGGATGAGGCTTTAAATCTCAGATGGGCTTTACTTTGCTCCCTACAGGCTTTTTATTATCCATCTTAAATAAATCAAACAAGTTGTACTCAGACAGCATCTGCTTCTCATTCTTGTACATTCCCCCTATTCTGTTCACAAGTCTCGCTAGTAAGCTAGTAATACTCTCTGTACTTCAAACCTCATGCTATTGTTGGTATACTGAAAATTATATTGAACACAAAATAAATCCTATATTTTGATTCTTGCTGAAAAAAAATTTGAAGAAATACCAGCATTTAAGACCTTTGCAAGTTAGACTTCCTTCAGACATACAGCAGCATCGCAACATGACAAATTCAAGTTAATGGGGCCCATGCCCAACAGTCCTGAAACCTCATACAGTGCATGTGGTTGTGATGGTGCAGCCCTTTGAGTGGTAAAACAGGTGGTGATGAGGTGAGATATATTGCTCCCCCAGCCAACTCTCCACTGCAGATCACTTTACAGAGGGACAGCAAGGCTGCCCCACATGAGTTCAAGCCCTTAGGTAGATACCTCTCTGAGAATCCTGGGCAGGGATTAGTCTGCCTGCCATTGGTAGTCCATGCTGTAACAATAGCCATAGCGTTGCATGCATCTGCTAAGGGGCCTGGGGGTAGGAGGGGGCCCCATTAGGGGGGTAGACTCTGCAGTGTAGAAGAGCTGACCTTAAGAAGCATCATAACCAGTCGCAGGTCCCCTTTGAGGGATCTGTTTTGTTTAGCTGTCTTAGAAGGATAAGTTTATTGCCCTCAGAAACTTTTCTGCAGTCTGGTCACAATTAACCCTGTACGTCTAATTCTAAAAAAAAAAAAAAAAAAAACCTCAGAATGCCTCCTCAGAAAAAAAAGCTAAGTTTTGTAGTTCTGCCAAAAAGAAGAGAGTTTTCAGGACCGGCATTAAACCCCCTTTCAGTTGTAGCACAACCCCTTATGAGTTGCTGAAGATTTGGGTCCCCCTATAGTCCTGTACAGCCAGGCATCACAAACTTCCACATAGGCTTACATCCAGAGTCAGAAATCAGTCCTTGAGCTTTGGGTATGTTATTTTATTTAAGGGATTTGAACTGGGATAGGGTTAGGGTTGTACAGGACAGGATGGCCAAGGGAAGTGATGTACTGAGGACAACTTCCTGGAACTATAAAAAAGCCTCCACCACTACAACACAGTCTCAGTTGGAGAGCTAGCCAGTGTCTCCTTAATGTACCACCCCAGATCCTAATGAGCGAATGACATGGGATCCTCTAATCCCCTGGATATTTTAATGCCATGAGATTCAGCTATGAGGGGAGGGCTGGAGGGCAGAGAGGGGCAGAGACAGGTGTAGACAGGAGGAGGAGGGCAGAGACAGGTGTAGACAGGAGGAGGAGGTTAGAGACCATCACCGGGCATGCGCAGTGCTGTTTCACCACACATGTGCGAGGTCCTCACTGCTGTACTGCGCAATCACGGTTCCCACTTCCATACCGCACAAGCGCAGGTCCCACTGTTACATTGCGTATGCACGCAATTTGCCTTTACTGAGGAAGGGTTGTGGCAGTTACCAGGAAGCGAAAGAGCGATGGCTTCAACTGCCCGACGTTAACATGGCCGTGGTGGCATTACAGGGAAAGTACAGTTCCAGGCTGCATTTTCATCGGAAAAGGTAGATTTTGATAAATGAAGTTAAAATATCAAATTGCCCATTGTGATACATGCTGCTTGTTGTTTTTCCTAAACGTATCACGTTTAAGTAAAATTCCTCTTTAAGCATTGACAATTTTGATCCCAGTTCACATTACTAGTTGTCACAGAAAGAGGTCACTGGAGGGGGGGCTTCCTTGGGTGAGTTACCAAAATGGTAACTCACCCAAGGAACCTAAATAAAAACTTGAGCGGTTGGCACCTTTACTTGGTGCAGGTACACTTATACTGAAGCTTTCCCTAATCCCAGCCAGTCTTTTACTGACCTTCAGCAATAAACAATCACTGAGACCATGAAACGGGGACAGGTGGGTATAAGACTGGGGGTAAGTTCCTTTTTCCCACCTCCCCATTATTTCGTCAATTTATCAAGTTCATCAAAAATAGGAAGCATTTTTTATGCTTTGTAAATCCTACAGAGAGAAGAGAACTTCACCAGACCCAACCAGTAAAACTGGACAATGACCTACCTGACCCCAGCAAGCCAAGCATTCTTATTGGATGAAGAGATCTCTACGATTTTGCCTCAAGTGCTTGCCTACATTTTCCATAGGGCAGACATGCACATTTGGCAATAAATCTTTGCAGAACAATCCATCTAACCCGAAGTCTGTAGGTAGCTTTACATTGAGAAAATGTTATTTGTTTCATGGAGATTGAAATGTATTAAATATTTCAAGTCTGAGTGTCAACAGCTATTAGGTCCATATTTCGATTTGTAAGAGTAGAGGGCAAAAGAGTTAATGTTGGGAATTTTTTGTTCGTGAAGCCTACAGAGAGAAAAGAACATCACTAGACCTGACCAATATAAGTTGGAGAATGACCTGCATGACACCAGCAAAAACACCTACCTAAATATTCTTATTGGTTGAAGAGATTTCTATTGTTTTTCCTCAAGT